GTGTGGGTGGATGTAACTTGGTTCTGTTATGGAGGACATTCTCTATGGTGGTACGGGCCTCATCTAATGGAAGGTTGGTGTAAAGTGAGGTGACATCAATAGTTACTAGGGCTGGGCGGTTTCGTTTCGTTAATTCGTAATTCGTTAATAATTTGTTAATTTTTTCAATTACAAAACGATAACGAACCATTCTGGAGCAATTATTAAAAAAAACGAATTTTCAAAAACGTTTCGTAAATGCTTCGTATTTCGATATTGTATTCGTTTCGTTATTGTTTTGAGGTCGTTTCGTTATTATTTCCGCATGTCTGGGCCAGTTTTATGGTTTAATTAGTGAAAAAAAATTATAATATCACACCAACAGTCAACAACAGAGGGAGAGGGAAGCTTCAGAAGGTTTTGGAGGTTTTTTAGCGTATTTCGCGGTCGCGTCCGCCATTAACGAATCGATTCGTTATTGTTTCGGAAATCGATTCGTTAATTTTTTACCGTTTACGAAATTTCGTAAATATCGAACTTTTTAAAAGGAAAATTTTGTAATTATTTTAAATATCGAAACAAAAAAAAACCCCAAATACAAATAGATTTTAGAAACAATTTTTTCCGTTGTTACCCAGGCCTAATAGTTACTAAAACACTATCCTCCTCTACTTTGAGGTTTTCTATAATAGGCCTGTGCGGTTTCGTTCGTTAATTTCGTAATTCGTTAAACATTCGTTATTTTTTGCATTTACGAAACGATAACAAAACACTTTTTTAAACCCGGAAGGGTTTTAAAATAACGAAGCGGCATCCCCCATCCTTTTCACGAGTTTCCGCCCGTTTCGGAAATTGGATGGAGGATGCTGCTGGTGCCTGGGAGCCAATCCGGCGCTCCGGCGCCCCTTTCTCTTTGCCCCGCCCCTCCCCCGCGAGCGCGCTTTGCCTCCTTGCTTGCTTGCTTGGCTTGGCTTTCCCTTCCCGGCAGAAGGATGGCGAGCAGCGCAGCGACTGCTGGAGCCGCGGCTGCGGCGGCCGAGAAGGAGGCGAGCCAGCAGAGCAGCCTGGGCGCCTACTCGCCCGTGGATTACATGAGCATCACCAGCTTTCCCCGGCTGCCCGAGGAGGAGGAGGCGGCGGCGGCAGGAGGAGGAGGAGGAGGGGGCTCGGAGAGCTGCCTCCGCTCCCGCAAGGAGGAGGATGCCTTCCTCGGGGAGCAGGAGACCGGTGAGAGCGGGAAGGAGGGAAACACCCGCTTGCCTGCCTGCCTGCCTGCCTCCATCCTCCCTCCATCCACGCATCCACGCATCCATCCTCCTCCGAGCATCTTCTCCCTTGGATCATGCCCCCTTCTTCCATGGTGCAGGCTCCCCTGCAGCCAAGGCCACCCTCCTCCTTGCCTCCCTCCCTCCTTCTCCCCTTTCCCTCCTCCCTCCCATGTCAAGCATCCTCTGATCTTCACCAAGGACTCCCAAACTCCTCCTCCTCCTCCTCTTCCTCCTCCTCCTCTAAGGGCTTTGGAGTTCAACTCCCAGTGGGGACCCCCAAAGGTCATCCAGTCCATCCCCCTTGTTTAGAAGCAAGTTGAGGGAGCCCCCTTAACGAATCGACCCCGCGGCAATAACGTAAGCTTCGGAAATGTTTTGCGCATGCGCGCGGGGGTCCGCCATCTTAACGAATCGATTCGTTAATATTTACGAAATTTTCGTAAATATTAACGGATTGTAGGGGGGAAATTTTGTAATTATTTTAAATATCGAAACAAAAAAACACCCCAATTACAAATCGATTTTAGAACCAAATTTTTTCTTGATCAACAAGCCCTAATTTTCAAATATCCTTAGACTCCTGTTTCATTATATTCTTTCCTTCTGCTTTCTGGCGATTCTTTAAGTAGATTTTGTGTCTTTCACCTTAAAGATGGTCATTGTGCTGAAAAGTCCAGGAATATACGGAGATTACGAAAACAGTGCTTCAAAGATCAACTATGTACACTGTGTTTGTGATCCCTTCTTCCCTTTGTCCTGAGGACAACAGAGAAGGATCCAGTCTAGGTTCTGAGACCTGGAAGCCCATCTCACATCTCAAATTACAACTGTTCATGCATTTGTTTTAGAACTATGGAAGATACGAAGGAAGGAAGAATCCTTCTAAGTTGGAACAAAGCTCCATCTAGTCTACTTGATCTCAAATTCAGAGGGAGGAAGCTGGTTGATAGGCTTTGGGATGACACCAGACAGAGTGCCCAGAAGTACGGAAGATGTGACACTACCAGATCCATAGCCGTATCCACTATAGCCGAAACCGCCATAGCCAAGACTTCCATTGCCAAGACCGTTGACTCTGCGACCAGAGGACCCAAACCCAACCACAGGAGTAGAGTCATAGGAGGGGACAACGCAAGACGGTTGACAGTAAGACATCTTTGAAGGGTGATGAGACTCTGGAAAAAAATATTGGAGAAACAGGAAGTAATGAGAAGATGGAAACACATTTCATGCCACTTGCCTACTCTTTCCTAAACAAGTCGTTTATTTTTCATTGACTTAATGTTACTACTATCACTTAACGTTAGTCTTCTAGGTGTCTTTGATCTTCCAGATGTCTGGGACTTCAACTCCCAGAAGCCCCAGTCAGTTTGGACAACAGTCAGGAATTCTAAGAGCTGAATTCCCAAAAATCTGGACAACCAAAAGTTGAGAACCCCAACGTATTCAGAATGTGGAGGATATTCCTAGACAGTTTCAGACATGTTCAAATATCCTTAGACTCATATTTTATTATATTCTTTCCTTCTGCTTTCTGGCGATTCTTTAAGTAGATTTTGTGTCTTTCACCTTAAAGATGGTCATTGTGCTGAAAAGACCAGAAATACGTGGAGATTATGAAAACAGTGCTTCAAAGATCAACTATGTACACTGTCTTTGTGATCCTTTTTCCCTTTGTCCTGAGGACAACAGAGAAGGATCCAGTCTAGGTGCTGAGATCTGGAAGCCCATCTCATATTTCAGATTACAACTGTTCATACATTTGTTTTAGAACTATGGAAGATACAAAGGAAGGAAGAATCCTTCTAAGTTGGAACAAAGCTCCATCTAGTCTCCTTGATCACAAATTCAGAGGAAGGAAGCTGGTTGATAGGCTTCGGGATGACCCCAGACAGGGTGCCCAGATCTGCGGAAGATGCCACACTACCAGATCCATTGCTGTATCCACCATAGCCGAGACCACCATAGCCGAAACCGCCGTAGCCAAGACTTCCATTGCCGAGACCATTGACTCTGCGACCAGAGGACCCAAACCCAACCATAGGAGTAGAGTCGCAGGAGGGGACAATGCAAGATGGTTGACAGGAAGACATCTTTGAAGGGTGATGAGTCTCTGGAAAAGAATATTGGAGAAACAGGAAGTAATGAGAAGATGGAAACACATTTCATGCCTCTTGCCTACCCTTTCCTAAACAAGTCATTTATTTTTTCATTGACTTAACGTTACTACTATCACTTAACGTTAGTCTTCTAGGTGTCTTTGATCTTCCAGATGTCTGGGACTTCAAATCCCAGAAGCCCCAGTCAGGAATTCTAGGAGCTGAAGTCCCAAAAAAAACTGGACTGCCAAAAGTTGAGAACCTCAATGTATTCAGAATGTGGAGGATATTCCTAGATATTTCAGACATTTTCAAATATCCTTAGACTCCTGTTTCATTATATTCTTTCCTTCTGCTTTCTGGCGATTCTTTAAGTAGATTTTGTGTCTTTCACCTTAAAGATGGTCATTGTGCTGAAAAGACCAGGAATACATGGAAATTATGAAAACAGTGCTTCAAAGATCAACTATGTACACTGTCTTTGTGATCCCTTTTTCCCTTTGTCCTGAGGACAACAGAGAAGGATCCAGTCTAGGTTCTGAGATCTGGATCTCACACCTCAAGTTACAACTGTTCATACATTTGTTTTAGAACTATGAAAGATACAAAGGAAGGAAGAATCCTTCTAAGTTGGAACAAAGCTCCATCTAGTCTCCTTGATCACAAATTCAGAGGAAGGAAGCTGGTTGATAGGCTTCAGGATGACCCCAGACAGGGTGCCCAGATCTGCGGAAGATGCCACACTACCAGATCCATTGCCGTATCCACCATAGCCGAGACCACCATAGCCGAAACCGCCATAGCCAAGACTTCCATTGCCAAGACCGTTGACTCTGCGACCAGAGGACCCAAACCCAACCATAGGAGTAGAGTCGCAGGAGGGGACAATGCAAGATGGTTGACAGTGAGACATCTTTGAAGGGTGATGAGACTCTGGAAAAGAATATTGGAGAAACGGGGAGTAATGAGAAGATGGAAACACATTTCATGCCACTTGCCTACTCTTTCCTAAACAAGTTGTTTACTTTTCATTGACTTAATGTTGCTACTATCACTTAACATTAGTCTTCTAGGCATCTTTGATCTTTCAGATATCTGGGACTTCAAGTCCCAGAAGCCCCAGTCAATTTGGACAACAGTCAGGAATTCTAGGAGCTGAAGTCCCAAAAACCTGGATGACCAAAGGTTGAGAATCCCAACGTATTCAGAATGTGGAGGATATTCCTAGACATTTTCAGACATGTTCAAATATCCTTAGACTCATATTTTATTGTATTCTTTCCTTCTGCTTTCTGGCGATTCTTTAAGTAGATTTTGTGTCTTTCACCTTGAAGATGGTCATTCTGCTGAAAAGACCAGGAATACATGGAGATTACGAAAACAGTGCTTCATAGATCAACTACGTACACTGTCTTTGTGATCCCTTCTTCCCTTTGTCCTGAGGACAACAGAGAAGGATCCAGTCTAGGTTCTGAGATCTGGAAGCCCATCTCACATCTCAAATTACAACTGTTCATACATTTGTTTTAGAACTATGGATACGAAGGAAGGAAGAATCCTTCTAAGTTGGAACAGAGCTCCATCTAGTCTCCTCAATCACAAATTCAGAGGGAGGAAGCCGGTTGATAGACTTCGGGATGACCCCAGACAGGGTGCCCAGATCTGCGGAAGATGTGACATTACCAGATCCATTGCCGTATCCACCATAGCCGAGACCACCATAGCCGAAACCGCCGTAGCCAAGACTTCCATTGCCGAGACCGTTGACTCTGCAACCAGAGGACCCAAACCCAACCACAGGAGTAGAGTCGTAGGAGGGGACAACGCAAGATGGTTGACAGGAAGACATCTTTGAAGGGTGATGAGTCTCTGGAAAAGAATATTGGAGAAACAGGAAGTAATGAGAAGATGGAAACAGATTTCATGCCTCTTGCCTACCCTTTCCTAAACAAGTCATTTATTTTTTCATTGACTTAACATTACTACTATCACTTAACATTAGTCTTCTAGGTGTCTTTGATCTTCCAGATGTCTGGGACTTCAAATCCCAGAAGCCCCAGTCAGGAATTCTAGGAGCTGAAGTCCCAAAAAAAACTGGACTGCCAAAAGTTGAGAACCTCAATGTATTCAGAATGTGGAGGATATTCCTAGATATTTCAGACATTTTCAAATATCCTTAGACTCCTGTTTCATTATATTCTTTCCTTCTGCTTTCTGGCGATTCTTTAAGTAGATTTTGTGTCTTTCACCTTAAAGATGGTCATTGTGCTGAAAAGACCAGGAATACGTGGAGATTATGAAAACAGTGCTTCAAAGATCAACTATGTACACTGTCTTTGTGATCCTTTTTCCCTTTGTCCTGAGGACAACAGAGAAGGATCCAGTCTAGGTTCTGAGATCTGGAAGCCCATCTCATATCTCAGATTACAACTGTTCATACATTTGTTTTAGAACTATGGAAGATACAAAGGAAGGAAGAATCCTTCTAAGTTGGAACAAAGCTCCATCTAGTCTCCTTGATCATAAATTCAGAGGGAGGAAGCCGGTTGATAGGCTTCGGGATGACCCCAGACAGGGTGCCCAGATCTGTGGAAGATGTGACATTACCAGATCCATTGCCATATCCACCATAGCTGAGACCACCATAGCCGAAACTGCCATAGCCAAGACTTCCATTGCTGAGACCGTTGACTCTGCGACCAGAGGACCCAAACCCAACCACAGAAGTAGAGTCGTAGGAGGGGACAACGCAAGATGGTTGACAGTAAGACATCTTTGAAGGGTGATGAGTCTCTGGAAAAGAATATTGGAGAAACAGGAAGTAATGAGAAGATGGAAACACATTTCATTTAAAGTTACAACTGTTCATACATTTGTTTTAGAACTATGAAAGATACAAAGGAAGGAAGAATCCTTCTAAGTTGGAACAAAGCTCCATCTTATCTCCTTTTTGGAGAACATCTTTCCAAAAGGTATTAAAATGTTATGGTACAGAAAATTTTGCATTTTCATCCTGTTGTGTAAACATTTTCAGAATGACGTAAGTACTCTCAGTCTGATCTTCCATTCTGTTTTTTCCATCTAATACAGTGGTTCTCAACCTGGAGTCCCCAGATGTTTTTAGCCTTCAACTCCCAGAATTCCTAACAACTGGAAAACTGGCTGGGATTTCTGAGAGTTGTAGGCCAAAAACATCTGGGGACCCCAGGTTGAGAACTACTGTTCTAATATCTGCAGAAGAAAATTCAGATCTTTCTCCAATCTCCACACTCAAACCAGTTGAAGATATTTCCATATCTCTTTGCTATGTAGACCTGCAGATGTTTCTTGGACAACTGATAGACCTATGAAGATCAGAAGAGACCTGGAAGCTCAAAGTGAAGTTCCACCTAAGTTGGTATCCCATATTTGAAATTATCCTGTTCAACGTATCTGAGAAAATCAGAACAAAAGCATGGATGCAATGGAAAAGACATTATAATATTAGCATACAGAAAATTTTGCATTTTCATCCTATTGTGTAAACATCTTCAGAACAACATAAGTACCCTTAGTCTGATTTTCCATTGTGTTTCTTCCTTCTGTAGAGGAAAATACAGATCTTTCTCCAATCCCTACACTCAAACCAGTTGAAGATCTTTCCATATTTCTTTGCTATGTAGACCTACAGACATTTGTTGGAGAACCGATAGACCTATGAAGATCAGAAGAGTCCTGGAAGCTCAAAGCAAAGTTCCACCTAAGTTAATATTCGATATTTGACATTATCCTGCTCAATGTATCTGAGAAAATCAGAACGAAAGCATGGATGCAATGGAAAAGACATTTTAATATTATCATACAGAAAATTTTGTATTTTCATCCTATTGTGTAAACATCTTCAGAACGACATAAGTACCCTTAGTCTGATTTTCCATTGTGTTCCTTCCTTCTGTAGAAGAAAATATAGATATAGAAAGCATGAATGCTTCTAATATCTGCAGAAGAAAATATAGTTCTTTCTCCAACCCCCACACTCAAACCAGTTGAAGATCTTTTCATATCTCTTTGCTATGTGGACCTACAGAGGTTTCTTGGACAACTGATAGACCTATGAAGATCAGAAGAGTCCTGGTAGCTCAAAGCAAATTTCCACCTAAGTTGGTGTCCCATATTTGACATTATCCTGCTCAATGTATCTGAGAAACCAGAATGAAAGCATGAATGCTTCTAATATCTGCAGAAGAAAATATAGATCTTTCTCCAATCCCTACACTCAAACCAGTTGAAGATCTTTCCATATCTCTTTGCTATGTAGACCCACAGATGTTTCTTGGACGACTGATAGACCTATGAAGATCAGAAGAGTCCTGGAAGCTCAAAGCCAAGTTCCACCTAAGTTGGTGTCCCATATTTGACATTATCCTGCCCAACATATCAGAACGAAAGCATGAATGCAATGGAAATAGATTTACCTGCTTCTCCAAAGAGATGTTCCAAAGACAGGAGAGTGAAGTGAAGCTGTTGAATTCGAAGAGAGAACATTGAGCTTTTATACAGTCCGTACACCGTCACGTGAGTCAGGCTTAGCTGTTCTTCACCCCTTCCTAAAGAACAGTTTTCTTTTCATCTTCAAACTTGTATTCTACTAAACAGAAAGCATTTAACAATTACAATCTTCTTGACTCCTCTTTAATTGACCTCAACAAATTTTGCAATGTGGAGGAGCAAGGGAATTAGTAAAATAATTAGAAGGGTGGGTTCAAAGGGCTCTCTCATTGTCAGCTTTACTGTATTTTTAATATGCTTTGAGAGGGATTTTAATTGATTTTTAAAAAAGGAATCCGTGCCAAATGTCATAGCTGAAGTTTAAAGTTCAAAGTAATGCAGAGGGCACAATAACCTGCAGAGTGTAATTCTAAAATTGCTTTGTGATGATAGTTGTGTACGTGTTTTGTGTCCTACATTTCCAAAGTGAATGGCCTTCTGCAATTCAAGTTATGACTGAGCTAATATCTCTTATAGTCTGAACACCTCCCTTTTGCTTGGAAAAGAAAACTCAGATATGGAAGACCACCAAGAGAATGATATTTGGTGACAATCCAGATTGACATCCTTCCCATAGCACAGGACACTTATTTACTTACTTAGGCGATCCCTCATAGCTTGAGCGTGATGGTCTTCCAAGTGTAGTGTCTTGGTGGTGGGTCCATAGGTGGCTGAGGAGCCCTATTCATTCCTTCGGGGTGAGAAGGGCAGAATATAAATAATGTAAATAAATAAATAAATATTTAAAAATATTTAAAATAAATATTTAAGATCTTTTGCTGTGTTTTTAGCTATGAAACAGGTTCAAGCTTCTTAAATTTCATTTACAGTACTTTTTTTTGACTTCTGGTACCACTTCCGAATGACAGTGCCAGAACTGCTAGCGAGATTTCCAGTTTCAAGAGGAACGTGTAGACTTCTCAAGCTGAACAGTGAAGGAAGATAATACTCAACTAATTTGAAATATGATATTGGGGGAAACATTGACCAGTGGGCCACAAGGATGAAAATCTGGTCCACAAGTCTCCTTCCTCTTTATTTATTTATTTTATTTCGATTCCTTTCGTGCTGCCTGCCACTCCTTCCCTGTTGTTGACCATGGCATATGTTCTGTATCAGAAACTAGAGCTAATGTGGTCTATCCAATGCAATTTCCTGAATCAGCACTCCAAACTGAATCTAAAATTGACCAAAAACTGATTTGTAAGCCTTTGGTACTGATTGTTGTGGTTCAGCATGATTCTGGGCCTGAGATGTTCTCTGATGATGAGAATGACGGGATTCAGATTCCTGGCTCTTTTTCTGTGCCACAGATTCCTGGGCCTGTTCCTATGTCTTTTTCTGAGGCTCCAACAGACAATGCAGATAGTGCAGCTGGAGAGTCAACAAAGCTGTTCTCAGAAGAAAGGAATGCCAATGAACTAGATAACAGACAGGTGGAGAGACCTTTGCCTTCCCACGGTGATAGTGATAGTGCAGAAAGCCTTAATAGTGACCTGACCTGGCAAGCACACCTTGATTTGCGGGTCAGGAGGAGTTCACGCCTAGCCAGCAGAAGAGAAGACAGCTCGGGGAAAGGTCATCGCAATGCTATCATGTTGGTGAGACCATAATGTTTTCATGTTAGCAAAAGGTATTTAGGCTTCTAGTTAACGAAGGGAAAGTGTCAGTTCAACGTGGCTTGTTAGCCTGAAAGCTTCATGGAATAACCTTGGATTTAAAGCAGCACGCTTTGGGCTTCCTGCATCGTGATTCTTGGGGCTTGTGTTTCACTGTTTTTACCATGGGCTCTGTTTTGACCTTTGCTTAAAGGAATATGTCAAGTGGTTCCTTGTCAAAGTGGTCCCTGGTCAAGTAATCCTTGATCAAAATGTTCCATGATCAAGTGGTACCTGGTCAAGTGATCCCTGGTCAAGTGGTCCCTGGTCAAAGTGGTCCTTGGTCACGTGGTCCCTGGTCAAAAAAGGTTGGAAACCACTGCTCTAAGAATTATGCCTGCATCTACACTGTGATATCAATGCAATACCCCCCAAATTTTACTGTCACAATGTCATGTGATGGGAGATGTAGTTTGGTGAGGTGTTGGCCCTCTTTGGCAGAGAAGGCTAAAAATCCATCAAATAACTACTTCCTGATTTCCCAGCATTGAGCCATGATGGTTCAAGTGGTATTAAATTGTGTTTATTTTACAGTGTAGATGTGCGACAAGAGTGTCATATTGTTCTAACTTCATCGCTTCTGAACTTTTTGAAGTACATTTTGAACCACTTGTATATTGTGAACAGTTGTGTTTTAATGATAATTTGGGAATATTAGCTGGACTCATTTTGATTTTTTTATTGTTGCAAGGAGTCCCAGTATTGAGGATATAGAGAGATGAAGACTACGATGCTGGGTGACAAAACACATTATGGCTCGGAGAAGGTCTAATGGTGGTTTTGCTCTCCTTCTTTCTCTCATCTATAGTGTATTTATTTTTCATCCTTCTGAATATTTTGCTTTTCAGTGAGCAAGTGCAGGCAAAAGAGTCTTCTCAGAAAAAGACAGTCATAAAGGAAGAAATTGCGTTCCTTCATCTCACCAAAGCCTTTCAAAGCCTTATTTATGTTCATCATGTCAAAGAGGTTTGGGAAGATGTCATCTCAAAGGATGAAGTGATCCTTGAAACAGGGACATCAACAAGGCATCTTGATGATCAGAGGAAAATGACACCAGAATTTGATTTTACTCACTATATTTTGCACAGTAAGATCCCCAAGAAAAGCTGTCTCATTCTGTAAGATTAGAACAATATTGGATCTTTGTAAAAAAAAACCTCTTTGAGTAAACTAAAAATTCAGGAAATGCTTCCGGAGAATGAACAAAACAAACATCTCACCAAACGGAAGCCCAAAGTGAGTAGGTTGAACCAGCTTTGTTCACTATGGATGACTAGAATCATAGAGTTGGAAGAGACCTGGTGTACCATCCAGTCCAACCCCATTCTGTGAAGAATCAGGAGAATCGCCTTCAAATCACCCCCAACAGATGGCCATCCAGCCTCTGTTTCAGAGCCTCCAAAGAAGGAGCCTCCACCACACTCCAAGGCAGAGAGAGAGTTCCACTGCAGAGCAGTTCTCTGAGTTAGGAAGTTCTTCCTAATGTTCAGGTGGGATCTCCTTTCTTTCCTGTAGTTTGAAGCCATTGTTCCATGTCTTAGTCTCCAGTGTAGAGAGAGAGTTCATCTGCTGAACAGCTCTGAGGTTCTTCCTGAGG